AGAACCGGAATGAGATCTATATGCAGTTTCACGCACGCGCATGTCACACACACACACACACACACACACACACACACACACACACACACACACACACACACACACGGGCTAGAGTATGTACACACTGACACACGCAGATAGCTCTCAGCAGTGCCCCCTAGCGACCAGAAGCGATAGCAAGTGGAGGTGGGCGGGTGTTGGGGCTTGTTGTTTATGGCCGCTGGATTTCGGCGGCGGTTCACTGCGGATGTCAGCTGACCCAGCTGATACACACACTCCTCGGGTAACTGCACGAGCTGACAAGCACGAGTGTTTCCGAGTGTCTGCTTTTCTTGTTTGTTATGACTTTGGAAGGAGGAAGGAGGGATCTGTCTGCTTCATTGTTTTTGTTCTGATGCAATGAGATGCAGTGATCTGTGGCCAATGAGGCCTCGGGCTCTGTGACATAATCACTGACGACAGTGTGAGGAGTTAGCATGTCATTTTATTTACATCATGAGCAGAAACCATCACAATTGTCCTCATTGTCAACAAAACCACCACCAATAATAACAGGCATTTAACCCGAGCGAGCAGGGCGATAGAGCTGCGCTCAGTCTGTATGAATGGTGCCAACTAGTTGGAATCAAATAAACTTCAGTAACTGGGTTAAAAATTCCTGGTTCAAAATTCAAAATATCCTCAGCATGTGACAAACAGATAAGAGAGAGAGAGAGAGAGAGAGAGTGCCAGTGAGTATGTGTGTGTGTGTGTGTGTGTGTGTGTGTAAAGGCAAAAAATATGGTACACAGCAGCGGCCTGCATTGTATCCCAAAATAAAGTTGGTGTGTGTGTGTGTGTGTGTGTGTGTGTGTATTTGAAGTTGAAAGTGTTTGTTTAATCGAGGCTCGGCTTGGTGAAACGCCCCCTCTGTGTTTTATTATTGTCTGTACAGAGACAAAATATAGTTTGTGTTGTAAAGTGGTTTCATGTGTTTCTGTCCCCTGCTGAAGCGCAGCGGTCCCGCGTCTCAGTCTTGTAAAACTATTGGCAAAGCCTCGTTCTGGAAGCCTTTAAAGTCTTATAACCTACTGTTACACACGTTGTTTGCTTTTCCCTTATGAAACATTGTTGTTGCAATGGATCGTGTCCGCTGCTGCCCAGTATCCATGCCTGCAGGGAGAGAAAGAGAGGGAGAGAGGGAGAGAGAGGGAGAGGGAGAGAGAGAGTCCATTTAATGCATGCCATTTGGGTTGTTAGGTAAATCTTGGTTTGAAATAAGAGGGGAAAACCACAGTCTATTGTTTTGCCCTGCAGTGTTTTAAAAACCAGAGATAGGTTCACATAAAACTCCATGAAGTCATGAATCTGTCCGCATCACCACATTTAGAACCTCACTTACAAATCCCGACAGGACCAAAATTTTGCCTACTAATGGTCATAATTTATGATGTGTGGATCAACATGCGCTCATTGGGCAACAGCTCTCTGAGTGCTTAACGAGCATAAAGTCGAACACTTCCGGACATTAATTGGGCTGGCCAGCGATGGTAAAGTGCTTATAGAGGGCTTTACATTGTTAGTATGTGAATTACTCCTTATTAGTAAGGTTAGAAGCGGGGGAGAGGAAAAAGCATCAGGGGCTGACCAGACGTTGCCTCCCTCGCTGTGTTTTTAATCATGGCTGATAATGTAGGAAATTTTACAGGTCCCATATAACTAATACTGAGTGATGTTGTGATGTTGGATATTGATGCACATCTGTAGGCATGCAGAGGAGAAGCGGTATAGATTCATGGGAGTGGATGGGCCCTGTTGTGCTGCAGGGGAGAAGGCTGTAAAAGTCAGGCCTTCAGCAGAGAAACTAATTAAAGCGTAAATTTAAATCTGACCCAGCATGTTAATAAGGAACATTTAACACCAGCAAATGCAATAATAATAATAATTAAAAAATAATAATAACAATAATAATAATAATGATAATAATAATAATGATAATATAACAACAACGTGCGTTACGCATGATCTTTTTCATACGTTTCAATGCAAATTCACGTAGATAACTACAAATGAAGAGCACATACTGTTCATTAATGAATTATTAATGCTGATTATTAATTTTACTGGTTAGTACTTAGTACCAGGCTATTGTTAATAATTAATTATTTTCGTCTTAGACCCTCTTGGTTCTTGCGTTTATCGCCGGTCATAATATCCTGTGTAAGATCGTGGAAACGTGGACCAAACGGCCTCTTTCGCTCCTGCATCAAAAGCCGCGCATGTGATTTGCCTCACGGGCCGCAATAAAACACTAAAACACGAGGGAAAGAATGACCTTTCTAATTCTGCACACTGGCACAACCTCTGCTGCATTCCAGCCGCTCCAGTCCACACATTGGCTTCACTGTTCAGCCTTTATTTACAACCTGAACTTTATGGACCAGCGTGGTTTTTTTGGGGGAAGGTTGTGAATTACAATTAGCCTAAGGAAGATCAGTGTTTTGAAACCCAAATTTCATTTAATATATTTTTAGTTGGAATCACACATTGAATAGGTCTATTAATTCTTAGAGCTTTTTTTCATAAACGATGGCCTGGTGATGACACAAAGAAACTGTTATAATGAAACAAAGACTTTCGCACATGTTGTTTCTGACATCGTGAGCATGACAAATTAAGAAACTAACACCGACTACAAAACACTACATTCATCACATTTTCTGCTTCATTTCTTTTGTTTGAATTTAAATCCAAATTTCATGTCGCAGGTAGAGTTGTGAATTCACGTTTTAATGTCCTCAACACTTTGTGTTTGTCCCCTCTCTGGGCTGAAAATAGCCCAGTTGTATATAAATTGGGACTCCGAGTATTTTCATCCTGCTACATGTGTTTGTTTTTACCGCGTCATCAAATAATTCGTCTCTTAATATCAAAAAGAAGAGGAGAAAATAATCCCAGGTCAGCTGTAGAGGGACAAGACAGCCTCCAACTTTTGCGCTTCATTTGCCTCAAATCTGTGCGGCGCGGATGTCACATATGGCCACGAATATGGTGAAGGGAAACTTTTATTGCACCAGCTACTTCCTCCTCTTTGTTCTTGTCTCTTTTATGGTCTATCCAGGATCCCAAACAACAGACCAAACAGTGTTGCACGTTTAGGTTGCAAGTATTCACCCCATTGAAGAAATCAATGAGGTGGACCAATAGGCTGTTGTAGCCAGAGCGACTGCGTTTTGAGCAGACATTTTCAATAACTGCATTGATTATTTTATTGATATCTGTTATGACCTGTTGCGAAAAGCCAAGATATAACGTGAAATTTGTAGTTTCAAATGAACGTGTGTAGTTTATTTTCTATTTAGTTTTAACGCGTCTGACATTTGAAAATAAAATGCTTTCGAGGCGTAAAAATGCGCTCTGGTCCACTGGACAAAAAGTCATTTAATTACGTTGATTACAGAAAAGTGAGCGTGAGAGACGCTGTCGTCTATAATATCATTCATGTGGGTTTTTACGCATTTAGAGACAGTACATTTCGCTCAGACAAACTGCTTAAGTTTTGCTAGATTTCTCTCCTCTTTTTTTTTTAATTGCAAAACACCTCGAAAGTAATTTCCAAACCCATCATTTACTGCTGAGATAATTATCGGTTCCCCTTTCCTCTGTGTTGTATGTGTCAGAGGAATGTCCAAGTATAATCAGAGCAGGAGAAATAGACTAGAACATCTACATAAGCATTTGAACACGTTGCGTTTATACTGTAATTTCAACTCTAACTTGTGCGCGTAAAATTGAAAGTATACTCTTTATTGTTATGAGTTAAAGAGACTGTACCTGAGAGCCATCAGCTCATAGTGAACAGCGGGCACAGTTGACCTGTGGACGGTTTTGTCTGTCGCGTGCTGGACAGTCGCATAACTCACTAGATTTTTCAAGAGAGTGGCAGAAATGATCTTCTCAGACGCAGTTCTGGACTAGTCGACTGGACCTATATACGCTTTCCCCTTTGCTTTATGCCTCCACATGCTGTGCGGGGCTTTCATTGCTGAGCTTGTTGAGATTGCTGCTCGTGTTGCAGGGCTTTGCTGCAGAGATAGTTGTTGGTGAGCTGGGGAACGTCACTTGTTTTATTGCCCTCACAGAAGAGACACCATAAACGCATTCTTACCACCTACACCCTCCCCCAGTCCACTGCAAAAACATGGAGACTGCTCACATGCCAGATAATTCATACACAATGGAAACATTAACAGTATGTTGGAAACTCGTCGACATGGCTGACATAAACAATAAATGGCCATTTTCATTTTAGTTCCCGTAGAAAAAGGCTGCGCGTCCTGCGGGATGAGACCACGTATAGATATTGTTGCTTATATATCTCTGCAGTGGGGGTTGTGCAATTAAAAGTGAATTTTGGACAACACACACACACACACACACACACACACACACACACACACACACACACACACACACACACACACACACACACACACACACAGGCACTCACACAAAATACAACCCAATATCTCAGTTGAGGGTTTTGCATTAAATCTCAGTAAATGGTTTTAAAACTTAATTAGCCTTTAAGACACATGTAAACACGAGTTCCTGTGTATTTCAATGCAAATCCTCCGGCTTCCTTTGAATGTGATCACTGCACTGAGTGACACCGGCCACAGTTTGCATCATACTTCCTCTTTAAACGCCACATCTCTTAAAGTCCAAAATCTCTCACACAGCCAGGCTGTATAGTGTGCCACTCCAACTCTACGTTGTGTTTATCGGCATTTAGCACTAATGTTCAAGCTCTGAGCTAAAAGCTACAGTTTCTCCTCAACTCCTGCCTCTCAATTGGTGGAGAATGGTCAGCTGACATTGTCATATTGTCTCTCACCGAGCCAAGCCTCGGCTATAACACTCGGGTTTGTGCGTCTTAACCGGAGATTGGAAATTAATAATATTGAATCCTCAAAGTAGCCCACGTCCAGTTAGAGAGACAGAAAGTCGAGAAAAAAAAGAAGACCTTGGAGAAAGGTGTGGTTGGTTGACACAGACGGGAAGGAGATTTACTGGGAAGGAGATTGAAAAGAGACCGATAAAGAAGTGGGGAGAGTTGGAGAGAGGGTTACAAGCAAGGTATGAATTCTTATTTCGCAAACCCGTCGCTCTCCTGCCATTTATCCGGTGGTCAAGATGTTTTGCCTAACGTACCCCTAAACTCCACCACCTATGACACAGTCAGACATTTTTCGTCGTACGGTGCTGCTGTGACCCAGAATCGGATATATACACCTTTCTACTCTCCTCAAGATAATGTCGTTTTTGGGTCTGGCAGGGCACAATATGAATATGGATCAAACGTGTTTCTTCAAGACAAGGACGTGCTCCCCAGCTGCAGACAAACAAACATGGGACTCAATACACAAAGCCACATTGCTCAAGAGTACAGTTTGGATCAAGGAAGAGCAGGAGCGCAGGAGCAGAAAAGCAACATCCCGATCTACCCGTGGATGCAGCGAATGAACTCACACAGCGGTGAGTTTTACTACGACAAATAAATTAAGGAAATGGGCCAGTTTTACGATATGTCTTACCAAGAGAGTAAGTTACTTTTTATGACCCCATAAAACATTACTGTATCCCCTCGACTTGTAGATGGGCCTTTACATGTGCAAACAAACAGCTTTCATTTTAAGAATGATATAGTAGCAACAATCAGCAGCGTGAGACAGGCGGAATACATTAGGATGTTTTCTTTATTTTAGATAATAAAGCAAAGGTGCCCTTTGAGACAGGATTTGTCTTCTAGTTAAATGAGTTTATTTTTCTTTGTGGATTTAGATTACAGTTCTGATTCCAACAACCAGGCTAAACTTCTGCTCAAGTGTTATCAGACCACAGGCAGCAGCATGCTTGTTTTTTTTTAATCTCACATGTGGAGAAATGTGAACGATGAAATGAGTGACATTACTTTGTATCTCAGCAGGAGTGGGCTACGGGACAGACAGACGCAGGGGACGTCAAATATACTCTCGTTACCAAACACTTGAGCTGGAGAAGGAGTTTCATTTCAACCGCTACCTGACCAGGCGCAGACGCATCGAAATCGCAAATGCGCTTTGTTTAACAGAGCGGCAGATCAAAATCTGGTTTCAGAACCGACGCATGAAATGGAAGAAGGAGAGCAACCTGACCTCCACGGTGACTGGAAGTGAACAGACAGGAGCCTCTCAAGAGGAGGAACGCAGTGGCGCAATAGAAGAAGGGAAGGACGAGGACAAGAAGACAGAATAGTAAAAAAGAAAAAAGAAAAAAAGAAGTGGGAATAAAAACACCTGATGACCATTAAAACCCAACATAACTACCTAAAAAAAAATCTATATGGACTTGAGAGCGACTTCATTGCATGATAGCTTCCTCGCAGCTCTCCCACTTATATCTCATGTTAACCACAGGAGTGTTGAGCCTTAGAAATCCAGATTATTTCAGCCACAGTATGGCCCCTGTGACATGTGGAACGCTGAAGGTTTTTTTATTGCAATGTCACACTTGTATTGTGAAAATAAAAAGAAGTATTAATTTCTGTGTTATTTCCCATGCCAGTAAAATCTGTGTATTTACCCCCCCACACACACACACACTCACATACACACACACACCCCATCCATCACTGTGAACTCTTTGATCACCTCACAAAATACAGTGTTGGTCAGACTTTAAATCAGTATTGTACATGCACATTCCACGGAAGGGAAGGACCGACCGGACACTTGGTCTGATCTCAGTACAATCTATACTTGAATCGTCCGCAGAAAAGTGTCCAGCATAAACCTGAAAGTTGCACGGATAGTCAACAATCCACCCACACACACACACACACACACACACACACACACACTCTCTCTCTCCCACACAACTGAAATGCCTGTATATAATCCAAGTAACGGTATATTATGTAAATCCTGTGAGGACTTATGTGCATTTAGCCGCTTTGATAGACGCTGCATAACATAAAACTGCGCTTAGCCCTCCTCTGTTTCTGATCATTTGACTCAATAGGATTTCCTTGTGAGATAGATTTGTACACTAGTAATTCTTCACTTTTGTTTGGGAGGTTACAAATTCATGTTTTGTCATAATTGTGTATCATGGAATAAAATATTTGTAAAACTTTCACCCTCGTTTTGTGTTTTTGGGAACATTACACCACCTCACATCTGTCAGATGACGGCGTAAAGAAAGGCCTTTGAAAATACGCGCCAAGGTTTGATATTACATTTTAATTCCACCATAAGGCAAGTGGGGAACAAATAATATGATGAAGCGAGTTTTTAAGCAGATTTTGGCTTGTTCAATATTAAATATGGGACTTTCTGATTGGCATTATGGGAGCGCGAGGATGAGCTATTGTTCAATAGCCAAGTGAAACACTGTGAAACACTGACATTCCCGTAGCTGTATTACTATAACATCACTTTTAGCGACATTTAAGGTTCAAGTCCATGTGCGTAAATACAGTTTAACCAAGTGTGCACTTAACATGGTTCTTATAATAATAATTATTGTTATTGTTATTATTATAATTATTATTATAATTATTATTATTATAATTATTATTATTATTATTATTATTATTATATGGGACTGATGGTGGACTGGCAGTGTGTCAGGGACAGGGAGCCGGTGGCCGGTCCCGACCGTCCTGCCCCATACCAGACACCAGATGACGCTCTTGTCTTACTGTCCTGCCCTTTTCGCGCTAAAGATCCCTGCCTGGTCCTCAACAACCAACAGCTCAAAGTTTACCGGACACGTTTCTCCTATTCATCAATATCCCCATTGAGTATCAAAGCCAATTTATGACTGGCCAACATGTGCACGTGATCCCATACAAATACCCCATATTTGGGCAGCGCGCGTCGGATCAAGAATTAAAAAAACAGATACCAAAGCCTACTCCACCTATAAATCCTGGATTATTTTTTTAGGGCAGACAGCTCTGAATTTTCCAAAAGCGGCTACAAAGAAAAGCAATGATCAACAAAAACAGGGAAATAAGCGCAACATACATCCCGCAACCCTCTCTAGTTTAAAAAGAAAGTATCGCTGGCAGTTCAAAATGAGCTCTTATGTTGACAGCTCCAATCTCAGGCAAACGAGCGAGACAACTTCTGCTAACACTATGTTTAGTTTCGATCTATCTGGGCGCAGGTCCAGCTGCTATGAGGATGTTAATGTGAACGGGATATTCACTTGTCCCGTCCCTACGACCTCTGTTGAACGGGAGGAGATGAAAACTAGCCTGCGTGGCAATACGGATACTCCTCTCCCGTCAGGACCACAGATAACCATGGTCTCCAGTAGCTCGTCCGTGGACGCAAGCGGGCTCAGCTACGGCAGCAGCCCGCTGCTGGGACGAGGGGCAGACAGGGACCCGGAGAGGAGCGCAAAATCCGGCGGCAACAAGAGCCAAGAGAGCGAAAGAAACGCGGAGAACACGCAATCGGTGAAACGAAACACAAATGTGAACCAGCGTCAGGACAGTGAGCAGCGGCCACAGATTTATCCATGGATGACAAAACTGCACATGAGCCACGGTAAAGTTTGCCTATTTTCTGAAGTGCGACTAAGATGCTTTCCCTTATTCACTCTTAACGCTGCAACACTTCTTTTCGCCCGTTCCACTTTCCCCCTTGAGTTTTATAGGCCAAACGCAGGAAATAATAAAAACTCGCGGTCATAAATTTTATGACAAAGGCATCCATTGCTCGTAAACCTGCTCTGTTACGGTGAAGAGGTGATCTGTGGGGTGATTTATGGTGGTATAATTGGATAAGAGAACCAAACTGTGATAAAACTATGAAATAATATTACAAATTCAACTCCAAGTATTAGTTTTTTGCCTTGCTTTGTTTGTAGTCTCAGTTAAACTACATGTTTTACATTATCAGACTGTGTGTGTGGGAGAAGCTTTAGCCTTAAATTGAACTCTGGGAAACACCAATGCCCTGACCCAATCATGAACTTTTCACCTCTAAAAGATTTGAATAGGGCTGTTCCTTCTCCATGCCTTCAAACCACTGCTTGACTATTTAGGCTGCAGATGGACAGTGAGCACATTTACTGCTGCTGCTGCAAAAAGAAGCTGCTTTTGTTTTGTGTTTCTCCACATGCAAACATCCAGGAGCACACAGCAGGGGTGTTAAATATATTTACGTCCAATAGCATAGGCCTGTTGCTTTACTTAGCACGCCTGTGCACGACCAAGTCCACAAATATAGAACACATATCTGGAAGACGTCAGTTTCCATTTTCTAATCCCACTATTTTTGATTTTACACATCTGTTTTTCCTCCCACGACCCTCCACGCCTGTGCAGCGGCATTAGGCCGAGGCCAGTGTGTACAGGGAGGCCAGCACACTATTACTTATCTCATTTTACGTATTACAATGAGATAGGATTTCTTAAGGAATAGTCTTGTATTTTTTTAATGTTTTAATGTGAAAGGGTGTAGAGGGCCCTCCTTTAAACTGAGTATATTTTATTGCATCTAGTTAACCATCCTTATCAGCCTGACATAAATTTTTATTGCACGAATCCACAGCACGTAATATCAGGTTTAATTAGGTTATATAAAGATATTTGATCTTTTAAAGGAGGGTGGAAGAGGACATAAATTAACAGATTTTTGCTTGTAATGCTTATTTTTATGGATAACTAAGCTTTTTTTGAACGTAATAATATTATTATCATCCTATTATTATATTTATTTACGACTATAATACTGCTGAAAGCTAACTTATTTTAATACCACTTCAGAATCGGAGGGTAAGCGGTCCAGGACCAGTTACACCCGCTACCAGACTCTGGAGCTGGAGAAAGAGTTTCACTTCAACCGGTACCTGAGCCGCCGCAGGCGCATAGAGATCGCCCACACCCTGTGTCTAAACGAGAGGCAGATCAAAATCTGGTTCCAGAACAGGCGAATGAAGTGGAAGAAGGACTCAAAGATCAAAGTGAAGGAGTAAAAGTGCTCCAGTGAACGGGGTGCATGCAGCACGTTTTCAGCCCCACACTGCACAGTGCTGGAGTGCCGCCTGACCTCCGGATGAACTGCTAGGAGCAATGACATCATGACACCGCTCTGTGTGCTTCATCACCAATTATGTGTCACTTGCTGCAGTTTGGGACCTAATGTATTGAATATCACTCACTTTGATCAATCGGTTTACATTTCTAAATTAATTTGCTGCCCATGCGATGATAACCTCACTTTACTGCACGAAGGGGACAAGAGGTTGAGGGGAGCTGGGTCCTTCACGCTGCAAGGCTTTGGTCTGCAGTGCACAGAAAAGGCTGCACAACGCTACTAATAATCTATGTTTTTAATTAGGATAAGAGTAGTGGAGGATGGGTGACAGCATGCATAATCATTTCCAACTCTATATCATCATGGTTCAGATCAACGAATCAAATAAAGACAAAAACATAATCCTGGCTGCTTTGGAAACCATAAAGACCATGATCTGTCCTGTAACAGCTCAACTTCCCTCCAGTAAAAAGCTACGTTCCCACCTCTTCCCCTTCTCTTTTTTTAAGATGACCCTCTAATATGTTGCAGTGCAAAGTTAGGAAGTGGTTGGATGTGTGATGTGTCTGTTAGTGAGTGGATTTTCTGTGAAGGCACCATCCATGTTGTCTGTCATAATCCTTGTGAATCGAAATCTTTCTGTATAATTCAGCGACTGTGTGTGATGATATCTGTGATGTGCAATGAAGCCATTCCTCCTCTCCTTTGTAAACTCACGGTGCCTGGTTTACACAAGGCCTAGAATAACTGATAGATGGCTCATGTGTTGATTGTAACCAATAAAGTCTCATAATTAAAAGTGGGAAAATTTCCTATTTGCACATTTCTATTTTTTTTTCCTTCCTGATATTAGGAGTTTAATGGTAGAATTGCGCAGCTGGCGTGGATTTAAATACATTTCTGCTACAAGTCCACTGAGTGAAACTTTAAAAAAATTGTTAGATTTTTTTTGAAAGAGCACATTTTCATTTGTTCTGTCCTACTAATCACGTTTCCTTATAGTCTGACTCGGAATCCACAGAATTTCACTGCCTGACAAACGCGCTCTGAAGTTTAAGGCCCCCATAAAACTTTATTGCCCCCTTTTCCACCACAGACAGACTCCGTTTCCTGTTTTGTCAGGGAAGGAAGAGACACACTCGCCTGTGATAACACTTCGCCCACGACACAACATGGATGCAAAACTTTGGTTTCCTGTGGCCGCAGACTGACGCGCCATCATTGTTGAGGCCATATGGCCACTTTATGATGTCGCCCTGCTCTTTAATCCTGGCATCATTACACTGCGGTTAAAACAACACTATCTGGTAGTATAAAGGACATTAAACCATGCCAGTTGCTGGGTGTCTGTACTCAGCAGCAGCTTTAGTAGAAGCAGTACTATGACGCAGTATAGCCCAGGGTTATGAGGTAATTTCTCTCTAGCACTACTTAAAGAAAATAAAAATCAACTCACCTCTCAAACTAATAGCTTCCTATTCAACTTCCTTGACGGTTATGAGAACCGGTCAGCGCAGCGTCCACTTTCTCTGCGCTCTGTAAGGCCTAACCTATACGTGGACAATGTATTGAATCCCTTTTTCTATGTCTTTCTTTTAGGGTATTTTAAAGTTTACAAGGTTACATATGCCAATTGCCCCAAGCAGGGCCTGTGAATGGTGCATAGGAAGCACGTGGTGTCATTTAAGTGGGTTTTATGGCCTGGAAGAGCTGACAAACCTTCGATATATACACATCATATATAATCTTAACTGTCCGGAATCGCAGCTGCTGGCTTCCCCTTATCTGAGGAAGAAAGGGCTTTGTGGCAGTGAGGATGCAGTACCTTTCTCCGGACTGTGTAGTCGGGTGGTGCGGAGGACTGAGAGCTGCTGCAGTAAGTTGCTTTTAACTTTGCCTACAGGCCTGCGACTGTGCAGTTATTTCACCGGCTTGTTATATTGTTAAAATGTATATGACTGTGACTTTGAACGCGTGGTTGTTGAACTGATTAACTTCAAATTTAACGATATTAACA